AATTTAATCCTACCAGCTATAACCAAAACCCTCTGTAGAATGCTGTGAAGAAATAAAAGCCTTAAAGAAGGCAAGGATGATCCCGGAATAGGTGAAAAAGGGAGTTTGATTATGTTACTTGAATACCTAACATTGATATTCTCCCACTGAAATAATGATCATGTATTTTTCATCCCAGATGAATGCAGAAGTAGTCAGAAGGGGACCCAATAATATAGTGTGAGAAGTTTTTAGAGTATGTGTCTATGTGGTCATGTGCAATCAGTCATAGATTAATGTGGGTTTGCCATGCATTGCCTGGCAAAAAAAAAAAAAAAAAAGAGCTAGGTCTGATTTGAACTATCTGTGGTTTTCTTACCTGTGTGGATGCAATGGGGAAAGTCCAATCCCACAGTTATGATGTCATGAATCCTTGGACCACTCCAATTTAATTAAGTGCTTAATGAAGAAGTGGCATGGAAGGTGGAAATGTTGATTATTTTCTTTAGGTTTTCCATGGAAAGTTACTTTTGCTAGGGTAAAGTTTCTTATCTTGTTGTCCTTTTAAAATCAGCAAGGAATTTCTCCCCTCTGATATGTATCTTAGTTTCTGGGTGCACGTTTTACTTCTTATTTTGCATCATGAGGTTCCCCATGACTGAAAAGGATACTAAGCTAAGCGAGCTGGTATTTTGAAACTCTGGCCATGCATTTGGACCACTTGGTTAATATACCCTCTGTGTGTACTTAGGGTTGAGTTGATTTCCCCCAAGTCAGATTGACAGAGATTTGAAGGGTTCTTCACCTTTCCATCAAGCACATGCCTTATCTAACTTTCTGAGGTCATTTGAATGTAGCTCATGTGTTGCCCTGTATCAGAGCCTTTTGAGGGGCTCTCAGTCTCTTTTGCTTCTTGCCTGAGACATGTATTCAGCTTTACTGAAGAATGAATGCATTCTGTCCCTGAAGTATCTAGGTTTGTTACTGAGATATTGTGTGGACAATAGCTAGTTCTTGTACACAGAAAACCAGCTGCTGAAATTTAATGGTTGTAGGCAGGCTAATGTTTAGCAAAGTCAAATTTAAAAAGGAAAACCACCCCTCTCCCAGTAAGCTTAGAGACAGACCAGATGAGTAACTTGAAATAAAATGTATTAATTTTAATATCCCATAAGTGTTTCCTCACACATGACAATGGAGAAGGGAAATGCTTATCCTTCATACTTCAAAAAATAAAAGATAATTCTTTGCCGCATACGGTAATGCGTAAAAATATTTGTGGATCACTGTATAACTGGTTCAGATGAAAAACCCCAAACTTGAGGACAGTAACATTGTCTTGTATACTGGATTGAACATTTCTGTAAAATCAAATACTGTTCAGGTATCAGTATTTCTAAAAGTAATGAACTTAATTTCAGTTTTGGGGGGGGGGTTGGAATCAATTTTGAAGTAGGTCTGAGAAAGCAAATACTTTTGATATGTATAAATTTTTTGGGAGAAGGTTAAATGACTTGATAACAGAAAATACCGAGAATTAAAAGTTACTTTTTGCATTGCTTGTAATGTTAATACAGCAGAAAAATTACAAAAGAAAATACACTCATGCTGAAGCAAAATCAATTCAGACAGAAAAACTTGAATATATTTAATACCAGATAATATTAGATACTGAATTAAGAAGAAGCTAGGCTGACTGTGTTTGACTTTTATATAAAGACTACATACTTTTCAGTGAATGGATCAGAGCTCAGACAGAGGTCTGAAGAACAGAACATGTTCTTCAATATTTGCTATACTAGTGATCAACTGAGATGGTAAGAACAGTTTCTTTTGTAGAGAAAACTGACTAATTTCATAGTCATATGACCACTGACTTACCTGCTACTGACATTGAAGTAGTCACACAGGTTTTACCATGCTCTTCTGTAGTTCAAGAGTCTGAATATATTTCACAGAGAATTCCAGTCAGGGCTCAGACATGCATAGTGCACCCAGCAGGGCTTTGCATGTTGCACAGATATTTTATATAACCTATGAAATTATATTGTCATTTTACAGGAGGGTTGCCTGGTATGCTGAGCATCATCTCTGTGTTAACAAGGATGAACAGTGCACTCATGAGAATACAAATGTTTTAAATTCATAAGACTGCTTTTTTTTCAGTTTTTTACCTTTCCCTGTAAATATATTGTTTCTTGCTTTTCATAATTGTCTTTATAAAAGGAGAAAGTAAACATGAATGTATTTTTAAAAGAACTTTGGGAAGTACAGAGAGGAGATTTTCTGTGTGAGCTACTTAATGGTTTCAATTTGCATGCAGCAGTAAAAATAAAAGCTGAGTAACTGATTTCTGTATTGCGGTTTAGGAAAACATTGCACAATTAATTTCACATTTGTAAAAAATCTGGTTTAATCAGGATATGTTTAGGACTATTAAAACAGATTCAGAATGCTAAAGGTATGCCATATACTTAGGTGACTGCAACAGTTAATATCTTAGAAAACTATGAGTTCCATTTCAGAAACATCTATGAACTACCTGAATTTTTTCCCCCATAAGTGATCCTGTCTTGTCTGCAATACTTCCACTGAAATCTGTTTATCAGGATAGAGAGTGTGTTCTGTGTTGTTGAAAGGAGTATCTTTTCATTCCTTTTATCTTAAGTATCAAAGATTTCCAAGGCTTTAAGAAATTTGATTTATAGAAGAAACATTCATTAACTGTTGAGTAAAGATGGTCTTTTTAATAATACAGGCTTGTAGACTGTTTTGCTAGAATGACCTTTCCAGCAATATAAAGCTATATTGCCTTGTGAATATGCCAGACAGTAATTCAAGGCTATGGAGAGAACTATCTTATCTTCCAGTTTATATTCTGCAATGCAGAAGTCTTCAGAAATAATAATTCTTAAATTCATACGTTAAGACTTCCCAGTTCTGCTGTGTTAAGGCTCCCCAGTTCTGCTTACTTAAACATTTTTTTTTGCCCATTTAAAATTAATGGTAATTTTACAGCCATATAAACAGTCATTTGCATGTTTAAGTTCATTTGCATACTTGAAAATTCAGTTTGATAACCTGCAAAATAAACACAAGAGCCATGCTTCTACAACTTGTTCATTGGTCTGAGTTTTACCCTATAAAAATTAATGGTTTCTTGAGATACTAAAATTATTCTTATGTACAGCATAGTTACAGTCATTAGAATGTATTAGAGTGTGTTCTTTCATGATGTTACTACAAAATAATAACTTGTCTGTTCAAGAGAGGCTAATCAGTAGATTTCTTTCTAATTTTAACAGAGGTGCTCTTGAATTATTTTGCTTTTTGAAAGTCATTATTTTGAAGCCTTAAAACTGAAAGAGTACATTTATATTAGATGTTAGGAATAAATTCATTATTGTCAGGGTGGTGAGACACTGGCACAGGTTGCCCAGAGAAGTTGTCTCATCCCTGGAAGTGTTCAAGCCAGGTCTGGATGGAGCACTGAGCAAACTGTTCTAGCAGTTCTGAGGTGCATGTGTAGGAATGCACTTCAGAAAATGTGTCAAGCCATGAAGCTTTTTATTTATATTCCATCCCTTTATCCAAAACCCATGAAAGTCAAACCCATGAAATGAATAACAGGGGTGGTTCATCCTCTATATCAAGCTTTAATTTCTTAAGCTCAATTTTAATATTGCTGGTTTATAGGTAATGGGATTTATACTTTATTCTTTGAACTTCTAATGCATTTTTGCAGTAATCCAAAAGAGATACTTAAAATTAAGTGATACAAATTTTATATAATTTTTTTATCTTTTTTTGAGGATGTTACAGATTTTTAAGAAAGGCATGCTAATTATTACCAGATTATGTCATTTTTCCTACTTGTGCTCTTGTAAACTTACATGCAATGCATAATATATTATAAAATTTAGTTGTGTCGTTCTGACACCAGTGAAAAATGGCCTGTTTCTTTTCAAATTAATAAAATTAATAGGTAGTGAAATGATGGAAATTTTTGTGTTAGCTTTAGAAATGTTTGACATCTCTACTACAGAATTATTATTTTTGCAAGCATGCAAGAACCACGAACTAGCAATTCATTATGCATCAGAATATGCATATGTGGAATATGCAGCAACTGAAACTAATGAGATTAACTGATCCTGACAGATATAACTTTAGAAAGCCTATACTTCTGATATTCATAAACATTTGGGCCTAATTGAAATCAAGTATATGTAAAAATGTTGGTGTCACATAGAATGGATCTTCTAGTTTCCCCTAGGCTACAGTATGCTACGAGAACATGATAGATGAAAAACTTGTTTTCTGTTTATATAAACATAGATTTCTCCACAGATGCTTGATTAGGTATAGATGCAATATGTTGATGGTTCATGATGCATGATTTTTCATTCCCTATAGGAATTACATCCTATTTTGATAGGTTTACAGTATTTTTAGTACTTCATACATTTACTCATGGCAGAAATGTAAATAAGTATTTCAGAAATAATTTCAATTTTTGCATTTCAGACTGAAATTTCCCTGCATGTCTTTGCTGTTGCTCTATAGGTTGGGTTGGTACTGAGGGATGCCTCTGTGTGGCTCAGTTGCTAATATCCAAGGAAGCCTGGAGCTGAGACAGATAGCTAGCAGAGGTCTTGGGAACCTCACAGAGACTGTTTTGCTCTCTGTGTGTGACAGGGAGGAGAATCAGCTGGTGCTGTGTTTCCCAGGCAGGTGCTGCACTCCCAGCTGGTTGGTCCCTTTGGGCCTCAGTGTGCCATCTGCAAAATGTAGGACACACTCTCCTAATTCAGCCATATGGAGAGAGGATAGGTACATTTTTACAGTCTAAATGGTTTGAAGCCTGCAGCAACACCCACACTGAGAAGCGAGGCCCTGTGGAGCAACCCAGCCATAGCAGGCTGGAGGTCTCTGCATGCCCTTTTACCCTTCTGTTCCGTGTTTGCTGTTGCAGTTTACTGTGTGTGCTTTCCATTGAATAATTTCTTTCTCTTTTCTAGTTTGAGGGTTGCAAGAAAGCCTTTTCCAGACTAGAAAATCTCAAGATTCACTTAAGGAGCCACACGGGTGAGAAGCCGTACCTTTGCCAGCACCCTGGCTGCCAGAAAGCATTCAGCAACTCCAGCGACCGTGCCAAACACCAGAGGACACACTTGGACACTGTAAGGACACAGAAGCCCCACTGCAGACCCCTGTAAATTAGACCATCTGCTCCTTTCCTCCAGCCTGGTGACAGCAGGTAGCCCATACCCTTAGAGACAGGAGGGTGGACTGATGAGGCTGCTGAAGCTGCTTCAAAAGTAACCCAGTAATCTAAGCATGCAAGAAGATGGCTGGCTGGTTGATAAAAAGACCACAGTTCCATAGTCTTTGCTGCAGGTAGAGGCAGTAGCTTTCTCCCACTTAGCTGACCTTCAGGGAAACTGAAACTGTCTGCTATATAAAGTGCTTTTCTTTGATGAAAAGTTCAGGCTGGGGCATGTACCAGAAAGTCAAGAGAGCCAGAATAATTTTGCAAATCTAAAAAGTTTTGTGCCAACAGATTGTCCCTTGTAAATTTGAGGCACAGCTGAGGTTTGTTTAAAAACCTCTGTTTCAGAAAAAAAGGTTTTGTTTGCTCAGAGAGAGTTCCCAAACGGCAGAAGTCCAGAAATGCAATTAAAACAGTGCCATTTGAATTAAATGGCTGCTAAAAAATAGTTGAATACAATGTATATAGTATAGTTATATAGTTGATATAATTGATACTAAGGCCGGCACGTTAATAATTTGTACAAAGTGTTTTCAGAAATTATTTGTGAAAGATAAGTGGATAAATTGCTGAATAGCTACTTTCAGGAAAGAGTTGGACCTAATGTTCATTTAATATTTAGTATTGTGAACCTACAAGTCTTCAGGGAAAACAGACAGATTAGAACAATCAAGATGAGAAGATTATGTGAGTTAGATTTATTGGGCATTCTTTTAAGAAAACTATAAAGATATTACAGGATATTTTACAGGTTTTTTTCTAAAATTAAGTAATTATTAATAATAATAATGAAGTGTTATTAGAAAATGTGAGCTGAAGGAGTTGGTCAGTACTTCACATTAAAACACATTTTATTTTTTTGGTATGTAATATTTTTGATACTTCAGTATTCAGTGCTTGTTTTTTCTTGCCTTCTTTGTAATATAGTAAACTAACACTTTTTCTTGTTCTCTTTTCCTGAAGCAGATCCTTCTATAATCCTAAACAGTCTTTCTGGGCCTTTACTGCAGTTTCTTTACCTGATTCACTAAAGACTGTAATTTCTGATTAAGTCAAAGATTGCTCTGAGGGTGGAAGAATTGTAAGTATATCTAGCAATACTCATTGTAATGCTAAGAAAAAAAAAAGGTAATAATGAAACGTGCTGTAATGAAAGCTTTCCTTCTGTTTGTCTTCCTTTAAAGCTTTACTTCATCCTTTCCTTTTCTAAAAAAATTGCCAAGCATTCTGCTTGTAATCATGTACAATATTTTTGTTCTGTAGTAATGTGGTTTGCAGGATCCCAAGGCTCAGAAAGGGTTCTCTTGAGTTAAAATAATCTGTGATACAACAGCAGCTTTATCCTTTTTCTTTCTGATTTAGAAACCTTATGCATGTGAGATTCCAGGATGTACTAAGCGATACACAGATCCAAGTTCCCTGAGAAAACATGTGAAAGCCCATTCTTCCAAAGATCAACAAGTCAGGAAAAAGGTAATTTTTCTGCTGTCTTGACTGGTGTAAAGTTTATGTGAAGTAATCAGTGTAATAATATTAGATGTTTCAATGCATCTTCAAGTACTTGGGTTGATTTCAGACTTTGAATTAGAAAAAAGAGCAAATTATAGATAGATGTGGTTCATATATAGATAATTTAATCTTTGACTTAATGAGGCTGCCTGATACAGCCTTTATGCTGTATGTTTGCTGATGTGATGGTTAATTACGAAACAAATACAACAAGGGAAATAAAAATAATTTTTGCAAACAGAAATGCTTGGTTTCAAATTATGCCACTTGGTAAGTACACAGTATTACAAAATACTGGCCAGTCTCAGATGGAAGGTTGGATTTTGAGGGCAGCATGTGGGATTAAGCTCTAAATTGTATTTGCATATTCCAGATACTTCCAATAACACCAAGATATTTCACAATGCTGATTCCCTGTGGATGTCAAGCCCATGAGTCATCAACTGTTTATATGTATAAGTGCATCTCTAAAGAGCTGAGTTGTGACCTAAGGGAATTGTTTTTTGAGCATTTTTCATCATAGCTCCTATTAATCACTGGCACAATGTTTACAAGGTACAACATAGATAGTTACTGGACCTTTGTGGAGTTATAATTACTAACTAGCATTATGCTTTGGTATTTGAAATATTTCCTGACAGTAATAAAAAATAAGAACAACAAACCTTTTAATGAAGAATTAAAGTTATTTATGGAATTAATTAAAAAGTGAAAATTGGCTTAATGCCAAAAAGATAATTACAAAAATGTGACTTCATCAAAAATAACCATAAAAATTCCAAGGTGATAAAGGCACAGTGGACTAATAGTTCAAGCCCTAGGGATCTTTTCTGTTGAAAAGAATGAAACCGTTTGCTGTCACACCCCGTTAGTCATGGATTCCTTTAATATATTGTGCCTGACTGGTTTTAATCCTCCCTTTAACCTCCCCCTGCATACCAAGTGACATTATTGTGGCATCTTAAGTTGCTGGCTCTCCAAGACTGTACCTGCAAATGTGTCTTTGATGTTGCAGAGACTTAAATAGCAAGATGAAGTATATTTATAAGGGTGGAATCTTATGTGCTGTGCTGATGTATACATTGAGTCTTCACCCCTGATTCTGTAGATGTTTCTTCAAAGATTTGACTCTTTCCTGGGCTCTCTGAGCTGGGATTATGCAATGGGATATAGGTAAATTTTCACCTCTCAGTTATTTTAAGCCACTTCTGTTGATGTGTGTCTATGACTTACCATATAAGGCAAAATTCCTTTCATGCAAATCTGTAATGCAGCTACTGTTCCCCTTCACTTCCCAACCCCTAGTTATCCACTAAATACATTTAACTGGGAATCTTGCCACATAATGACATGAAATCCTATAAACCAAGAAGATCCCAGCATAAATGTATTTAATAAAAGTAATTTAATGGATAGTACAAACATTTCATTTACTCTCCAAAGGAAGGCAGAGCCATGAGAGAATAAAGATAGCCATGCCTACTTTACTCACCTTTGTGTAATTTGAAAAATTCTTCACAAAAATTCTTTTACAAAAATGAGGGCAAACATGTACACAAACACCATGCAAATATCTGGGAATAGATGCTGAAAATGTTTAGTAAAACATTTTAGGTATATCCTCTATGCACTGTAATAGTCAGTCTATAATTTTAAAATACTTTGGTGGGGTAAAAAGTAGTGTTTACTATCATGTTTTTGAAAGGAAAAATTGCTGACTCTTCCAGGATTTCATCTTTCCATTGGGAAGATAAATGAGGTTTCTTCTAAGCCAAGAAGTCAGTGAAAGAAAACTAGACAGTTCCCAAAATGAGAGATTAAAGTAATGCTGAGAGGAATGTTAATGTACAACATGCCTCTCAACTACAATTAGTTTTGAAATGTGTTCTATTTTTAATCTTGTTCTCATTTCAGCTTTGAAAGGACAATTTACAAGATTTTTTTTTTGTAAATTGGCTAGACAAGTAAGCGTATTTTCAGTTGGCTATACTTTTTTGATTTCAGTAAAGCACAAATGTCTTTCATTTGTGAACTGATGGTACTGTATTCAAAATCAAGAATACGTAGCTCTTTTGGTTTTGGCAAGTCTTTTTATTGAAGATAATGAAAATTAAATTATGGAACATTGTGATACCTAATCACAATGTCAGCTGGATAGAAACTTTCTAACATGGCTTTGAGTATTCGAGAGCGGGCATTCTTTACTGCAGTGTGCACTGGAGGGTCCTGTCTCCAATCAAATTCCTGAGTGTTGGGTAAACAGAGCGTTTATCATACAAAAATGGTCACATATTCATTAGCTATCTCCCCTTACTGGATGTATATGTTTTACTTTGTTTTACATAGTCTCACCCCTTATCAAAAGTCCTTATAGGTTCCTTGGGGTCTGTCTTCAATGTCTCATGTCCTTTTCAGGTGCCTGTTCCTCAAGCCCTGCTTTTGAGTGAGCACAGTATATTTTTTTGCATTTCTGCTTTGTCAGCCTAGCAGAGCTGAGTTGGCATCCTGCTTGTGTTTTATGTTTTCTGTTTGCCTAATTTACATCCTTTATCTATTTCTCCAAGGCTGTGCTGTTCTGCTCTACTGCCCTTCGTAAGAATAAATAAATAAAAAGTAAAATATTGTTCTGTTCTACTCATACCATTCATATCATTCTACTCATTATCATGCCCATATCACATCATTAACAAAATGCAGATCCTGTGCTATAAAAACAGATAACCACAGGATGGGTCAGGTTGGAAGGGAGCAGCAGGTCACCTGGTCCAACCCCCCTGCCCAAGCAGGGTCTTCCCAGACCACATGGCACAGGATTTGGCCATACTGCTCTTGAATATCCCCAGTGAGGGAGACTCCACAGCCTCTCTGGGCAATCTGTTCCAGTGCTCAGTCACACTCACAGTGATGCAGTTCTTCCTCATGTTCCGGTGGCATTTCCTGTGCATCAGTTTCTGCCTGTTGCCTCTTGCCCTATGGTCTGGCACTGCTGGAAAAGCCTCTGACACCCTCCCTTCAGAGACTTGCAGGCATTGATGAGGTCCTCTCTCAGTCATCTCAAGGTGAACAGGCCCAGCTCCCTCAGCCTTCTTTGTAAGAGTGACCCCGTGGTTTGAAGCCTGTATAAAGTCAATACTGCCAGTATGCTCTTTGTGTAAGAGAGCATTCAGCCTTGTACAAGTATGAGATCATTGTCTTTTCCATTGAAGTATATAATGAAAAGTAATTTGCTATTTCTGTAGCAGTTGTGCTGAAGAAATCTGTTCTGGTAAATCTAAAGAAAATATTTAATTCACTTTCAAATACTGCAGTGCAATTCCCACTGTGAATGGAATGAAATGGAATGGACTCTCCACTGGTTTTGTACGTCTTGTCATGAACATCTGCAATGTCTATTTCCTTTCTTAAAGGTTTTCTCTTTTTAAAAAGTGCGTCTTCAAACAATAAGAGATAATTTAAAAAGGACAAAAGATTGTTCTGATTTTGTGCAGCTGTTTGGCCAATACAAGATCAGTAACATTGACCTTATCATCTGAACAATGCAGTGGCTATACTTTCAGATAGTTTTAATTTTATCCACACCAGTGAATAACTGTTGTCATATATAATAGCACTTTAGGCTTATGTGTCCTGCCAAAAAAAGCAAAATCGACAATGATTTAAAAGATTGTTTCTATTTAATTAAAAGAAAGTGAAACAATTAAAGATACAACTACTTAGGTCCATCTTTGGGAAGAAAAGAAAGATATAATTTGAACAGTTGACATAAACAAGACCAGCTAAAGGGAATGCAAAATTCTTAGTCTCGACTTTGAATTGAAGGATGATTTACATATACCAAATAATTTTCTCATTCAGCTGACCAGCCTTTGATTACTTGGCAGTTCTAATAGTGACCAGATCATGTCTTTGGTCTTTTTATTTAAATTATTTATGAGTCAGTTGGGATATATTATTTAGACAAGCTTTGAGGTATTGAATGCTTACCTGACAACTGCCTCTGTAAACCTGTACCATTTAAGGTCATTCAAATGGGTCTGGAGGAACCCATACAAGGATTGAACTGACCAGGTAGGTTAACATCTCAGCAGATGAATCACTGATACTTCTAGGTCACTATTTAGTCTTAGCCTAACACAGGAATTATGTTTATTTTGATGGATTTTTCCAGGACAAAAATTTTTGTACTCTCTCTCCCAAAAACCAAATATCATGGAGCCATAGCTTCAGGAAAGGCAGTCCAAAGGATATTTCTGAAAATTATCTAGACCATGATGGAGATTTTTAAAAATTGTAGTTTATATGGTACATGCTAAGTACCATATAAACCATATAGTACCATAAATCACTAAGGAATGATGGGAGTGGTGAGATCAAAGGAGATAAGGGGTTATGTACAGGGCTTCTAGACTGATTTACTTCTGCTTGATAATCTTTCTTTTTCACACAGATTGGTCAGTTGTAAAATGATGGCTGAACAGTCACTTTTGGGAAGCTAGCAAAACATTATCCCAGTCACGATGGATACTTCCATAATTTGTTCCTGTGATATCTGACTGGAAGGAAGTATTTTCAGGTGTTATTTTGCTGTGCAGGAATAAAGCACAGAAGGCAATCGGGATTTCTCTAATCCCAGTGCTATTTATGCTTGATTTCTTCCCCATTGCATTTATTGCTCTTCCAAGATTGATCAGCTAGCAGTAGTAGGAAGTTTTCAGAGTACTATTTCTGATTACAGTAAGAAATATGGTGATAGACCACACTGCAGACATGAAACAGGCAGTTGGATGCCTCAGCCATATCCACTTCTACTTCACACTGTAGTAGAGGCTAATAGAGCATACACTAGGTGTGGAGCACATTGGAAACAATGGGGTAAGGATATAAACCGCCTGGCCAAAGCAGTTACTGGCATTCCTTTGCTGAGTGGCCTCTGCTGAGCTTGATAAGGGTTTCAGTCTGAACTG